GGTAAAAATAAGAAAAATGAAATTTATATATAAAATAGTGTATGATTTAATTTTAAATCAATAGTATAATCAAATTATGCAAATATACTATCATATACCTAAAAAAAATAAATGCTTAGGAAAATTGTCCTCCTTTTACTATTCACTACTTTCTTCCACTACTCTTTTATTTCTTAACAATCGTTGAAAATGAATTTTAACGTAAAAGTTGTTACACCATACGATATTCGTGTACAAAGTGTGGAATGGAATTGAATTCTATTTGTAATGCGTTTTATTATCGGATAAAACCTGGTAAGTATATTACGAAAATTAAAAATATTCAATTGACTAAATTCTTTATCATTTTTTCTTTTTTTTGTTTTCAATTGGGCTATAATTGCGGCGAAAACGATTAAAAATCAATCATTACAAATACGGTGATTCCTTTTGAACGCTGTCCGAGTCACGCAAAATTGACACAAATTCACGTATCTTTTTTTATTCGCAATTACCATCAGTTCGTATTCAACGTCCGTGAATTATTCCCTAGACACTGCATAACGTGAAAGCATTCAGTTCTCCGCCAACATATTAGCCAATGCGAAAAAGGAAAAAAAAAACGAAATATCTCCAACGTATTCACGCGTATTTACGCAGCAAAGAACATCATCTGACAGAGAGAAAAAAACGATTAAATACTCGACGACGCGTAAACTACGAAATTAAAAAAAAAGAAAAAGAAACGAAGAGATATATCGATCGCAGAAAAAAGAAACATATACGAACAAAAATTTCTGCACTAATAATTTTCTACAATACTTTCAGTCGTGTGATTACAATATATCGATTACTTCGCGAACCTAACCTAAAAGAAACTACGAAAAATCGCTGTTCAGAAGTAACGTTCGCTGATGAAGCAGCAATTCTAATGAAGCCAGTGAACATTTTCTAAAAAAATACAAATTTTATTTATCTATTCGAAATGCTAAGGGTGAAGCTATACTGACAAGCTTCTTAACGTTACACACTACAGGCAATCAGTTTCGTTGATTAGCCCGTAGCGGTTTGTATTGCCGATTAGTGCTGGCTGGAACGGCGTTCTGTTGGCTTGGCGAGTCTTTGGCAGTTTCCTCGGGTTCCGGAGTCGAGGGTTGTTTTGCGATCCAGTCTAAGGCTCTTTGAATGGCTGGCGGTATTGGCGGCGGTGTTGGCACGTGAGTACCTGCTACTTGAGTGCCGAATTCATCGGCAGTCCAGCTAATAGCTATCGGTGTACCATCTGGCGCGTTGTACTGTACCGAACCTTGGATCAACTGGGTTTCAGACGGCGTGCCCGCATACTTTCGACTTCCGGTCTCCGATTGCACTATACCACCCTCAGTCTCGTAAGTGAACGAATAGTGGCCACGATTGTCGCCCAAATTCCGGTTTTCGCTGACGAGTTTTTCCGGTTGCCGGAAGTACTCTTGGCAATGGGCCACCGCGACCAACGCGAGGAAAATCTGAAATTTGGAGGTTAGATTAGGACCACGAGATCGAGATAAGGTTAAGTATGTTATGCGGGCGAGTCAGCCATATTTCTTTCTCTCGTTTCGTTTGAATTTGAAAAGTGATAATGGGTAAGAAGATGTAGAAAAAAGTGATTGTGTATGCATGAGAAAAATAATGGTGAGAAGGGTAAGGGAAAAAATAATGAAAAATTGAAATGATTTAATTATAATAATATTGAGATGACATTTTGACTGCTTTGACTTTTTTTATTTAAAGAAACAGGCAAGTAGAATGAAGACTATGAAACAACTAATTTTCTGTTGTGTGTTTAAAATTTTTATATTTGTACAAACGTTAACTGAAAATTTGTAAGTGTATGCAGAAAATAATAGTCCATTAAATCAATATGTTCTTTCAATGGACACCTTCTTTTTTAAAGCTTAAAATATTAAGTATGCAGTGAAAAATGTAAAAATTCTTGTCTTCTTGCTAATTAAACATCAAACTATAACGTTCTGCTGATACTCTGCTGGTTAAAACAGGGCCGTGTTTACCATTAGGAAGAAAGGCGCATGTCTGGGGCCTGCATATAGGTGTTTGTCATTACTGCACGAAATAAATAAATCCGCTGGCTTCGACTTCTAAATTTAATTAAGAAATTTTCATTTCATATTTTTTTGTAATCTCAAACTATAATAATATAAATTAACACAACTGCAAATATTTTGGTTTTTCTTAACTAATATCACCCTCGTTCTTGTTTATGTAAGAAAGGCTGGGATTTTCATTTCGTTGCCTAGGGTCCAAGAAGTTCTAACCGCGGCCCTGGGTCAAAGGACTCCCTCAGATATACATTTTTGATACGTCAATGCAATTTTGAAAGAAACTGCCTATTTAAGTCAGTAGAAAGCTAGTTTGTACTTCGTTACCGGAATTGCATCGGTGATTGATGTAAGCAACCAACTTGCATCATACATAATGATCGTTTAAGGAAAATCTATAGAAAGATCTATTTAATTCAATAGAATAATAATTTTCGCTAGACACTCCTTTAACAAGACGAAGCATATTTTTACGAAAATCCGCCTTTCGTCGCACACTACTAACTAAAAAGGTATACCCACTTTTCTATATTTCTATCGTAAAGAGAACATTATCGATTTTTAAGTATTTTCATTATCGTATCGATATTTCGTATCTTACTTTCAACTATCACGAAGTAAAGTCTGTTCTATTTGCAATTCTAGATGAAATTGTACACATATTAAGATTATT